GGAAGGTGCAGGTGGAACAGTGTAAAGCCCCCTGCATCAGAAACACAGTCCAGGTGATGTTTCCAACAGAGTGGGGAGGCCCTGCTGTGAGCTCCCCCAAACCACGTCCCCAGGTCTGAGATTCTGTCTTCTGCTGTGTGATGAAGCTGAACTTTCGGGCGGCTGGTTAGGAGGGCAAGCAGCTCTCTGTAGCCCGAGCTCCGATCCCAGCGGAGAGAGCAGAATCATCCTGTGTGCCCCCCTGCACGCTCACAGGGGACACTGACCCTTCCTTGTCCCCCCATGGCAGGCAGGAGGTGCTGCTGAACGCGGTGCACTGGGGGGCGACCTTTGAGTTCGAGGCCAGGGTGTCGGTGAACCCCCACACGGGGGTGCTGGACAGCTGTGTCTGCAGGCTGTCGGTGCGCAAGGTGAGAGCCTCTCTCTGCCATGGGTGACCCCTTTATCTCTCATGCCGGGTGCAACAGCAGCAGACTCTTACAGTAACAGCCAGATTTCACTTTCATTATCCAACATCCTGTGAAAAGAGCTGGGGAAATCTTACAAGGTCCAACCCAGCATGAATCAGGCCTGTTTCACTCACCTCCTCAGGTCTTCTGCCAATATCATGAAGGTTGTAGGAATTGTATGAAAACATCTGGATTCTGGTCAGGATTGGGGGCAATCCCTTTGCTTAGAATATTTGCCATATTATTTTTCTGAATTTTTTGCAGATTGGATTCTGCTTTGATTTTCTGCAGATAGTTCTGCTACCATTTGATGGTATGGGGTGGGGTGGAGAGGGAAATATCGGCCTCTGCTGGTCAGTATTTGAACAGCAGGTTCTGCTGAAACCACGATTCTGGTTTCCTGACCAAGGAGAAATAACTGAACCCGAGACGCAATGCCAGCCGGGAAACTGGGAAGCCGAGTGTTACCGTCCCTTCTCCCGGCGTTTGTCTTGACTGGTGTTTGTCTTACAGGATGTCAAAGGAGGGAAGTCTTTTGAGAAGGTGAGTCCAGCCGAGCCGCTGCTGGGGGTGTCTTCCCGGTGTCTCAGCCTTCCCTGGCTGCTGGGGGTTCCGGAGAGGGGGATCAAGGAGGAGGCGTGACCGGTGGTTCAGGTGTTTTTTTAAAGCAGAATCGACAACAGATCAGGTCACACAGGTAATGGGGGATTAAGATTAAGATCACTTTATTGTACTGTATACAATTTCTTGCATTAGGAATTTGTCTTTTCGCATACCCCAGCTTGCTCTCCATGAGACACACAGACAGGGAGAGAGAAGCTTGGGGTCAGAGCACAGGGTCAGCCATTTATACTGCGGCCCTGGAGCAGGTGGGGTTAAGGGCCTTGCCCAGGGGCCCAACGGAGTAGGATTCCCCTGTCGGCCGCGGGATACGAACCGGCCACCTTCCAGCCACAGGCGCAGATCCTGAGCCTCAGAGCCACTGCACTGCACCGATTATCAGAGCTGTAATAATAGATCTTGGAGCTCCCCAGAGGAGGAGTGCACCCCCACTCCACGCCAGGAGTTGACATGGGCGACTGGAGGCCGGCAGGTGTCCTGGGAGCTTTCCCGATCAGCAGCCAAACCCTCAAGGAGATCTGGCTTGTGCCCGGGGCGTTAGCCGAGCTCTGGATTGTAACTGAGATCAGAGAGCCCCCGAGCAGAGCCCCCCGGTCGTATGTCTGTGACCCGGCCCCTCCCCGCAGGTGGGCTACGCGGACCTGGACCTGTCGGAGTTCGCGGGCTCCGGGCTCGTTGCGCGACACTGCCTCCTGGAGGGCTACGGCAGAAAGGCCAGCAAGCCGGACAACTCCATCCTCAAGGTAGCTCCGCCGCTGCCGGGAGGAGCTGGTGAGAGGGTCTCGGTGAACTTGGCACACGCTTCTCCTGCAGCAGCTGCAGTATTTTATAAGGTGGACATTCAAAAGTGGTTTGAACTGGATTGGGGGAATGCTGGACACCAGGGCTGCTATGTAATTCTATACTGTTCTACAGGGACGCGTGCTATGGACCTGAGGAACCAGTTGTATGAAATGAATCTGATTGATCTTTAGCAAACAGATGTGTGTGATTTTGGAACACTGCCAATCTTGTGAGTACAGGGAAGCGTGACGGATGACAGAAAAATAAGCCAGAGTTGAATTACTGTGAGAAAAATACACCGAGCATCTCAGTGTGTTTCGCTCCCATGTGCATGGAATAAAAAGTTCTTTTAACTTCTGAGACGGACTCCTGACTGTCTTCTAAGGGGAAGGGGGAAACATTTCTCCAACGGAGCGCTTCTCAGTCTGTACCGGGGGAATCCCTGAGCGCTTGTCCTTCGTCTGGATGGGAAGGAAATTCTGAGCTCTTTTCTTCTGAAGGTTTTGCAGAGGTGCACTAAGGGCTTTGGTGAGACGAGCGGCTCTCTCTCAGCCTGATCGCCATCACCTTCCCGCCCTCAGGGCTTCCCGGACTTTCCGTTGATACCCCTCTCTGTCGTCCGCAGGTGGGGGTTCGGATGCAGCTGCTGGCAGGGGACCCCTGTTTCAGGGTGTAAGTCGGCCGTTTCTCTGCTGCTGGGTTCTGCAGCGGCAGTGCGAGAGGCAAACACAGCTGGCGGGTCACGATGCGCTGGAAAACGACACCGCACTTGCTGAAAGCTGGCTGAACTGGCCCAGGGGGGTCCGGTCCGGGCCCTGGAGAACTGCTGTGTCTGTTTGCTTTTCCTTTCGTGCTCAGCTCTCAATGACTTCAGACAGCCCATTACTGCATCATTGGCCAACTTTAACAATCTCTCCCAGCTGTTGCTTTACAGAGACCCAGAACCTCCAGGGCCAGGGCTGGGTGGCCCTGATTTCGCTCATGGGATGGTCAGGTAGTTGGGAAAACTGAAACTCCCGTGAAATAGGAAGCGATCAATCAGTCAACTAACCATCCTGCCACTTGGCCGATCAATCAATTGATCAATCCATTAGTTCCTCAATCAAACTACCAGAGACCCAATCAATCAGCCAGTAATTGATCTTTTAAAAAGCAATCAACGGATCACTGTGTTTTTCTTCCAGACCTTCCTCCTGTGTTGGCCATTCGGCCCTGTCTCTGAGCGCACTGCCATCATCAGCCTCACCTGAGCACAGCAGCTACGCGCCAGGTGACCGCGCTCGCCCCCGCACACCCCCCTCGTCGCCTGCCTCTCCCTTCTCACTGCCGAGGCTCGGGTCCTGCAGCGTCCCGCCCTGCAGGGGGCGCCCTGCTCACACATGCCCTGTCTTCTTCCCGCGCTCAGCCTTCTCCCTGGAGACCCTGCAGCGGGAGCGGGAGGTGACGGGCGTGCCCCCGGGCCCCTCGCGCTGGCTGGAGCCCGAGCAGGTGGAGCGGGCGGCGGTGGCGGGGCAGCTGACCCGGGTGGGGCACACCAGGGTGGACGCCCGGGATGTGGTGGAGCACCTGTGCCGGGAGCGCCTGTCCGCAGAGGCCGACCTCCAGAGCGGTGCCGAGGGTGCGAAACACACCTGTTTTACTGTCCCATTCGGCCCATCTGAGGATCTCATCTCCTCCTTTCCTCGACAACATGGCTGGCAGCTTGTTCCATTCTCCCGCAACCCTTTGTGTAGACATCCTGTTGTCAGTCGCTAATGTGCTCTCCCACAGTCTCCACTGGTGTCCTCTGGTTCAGGTTTCACCATTGCTCCTGAGCTCCCCTGCTGAGTTATTCCCCCTCTGGGGTTCCTGTGTTCCTCGGTCTTCCTCCCAAGTGAGGGAAGCCAGGCTCTTCTTTGGGGTGCTTGGGATGCTGCTTTTCAAACGCCCAGGCCTCTGAGCTGTGAGCGTTGGGCTGTCCCTGGCCAGCCCACCCATTGACCGCGAGCTCTGCCTCAGCGACGGAACAGGGCCCGATCCCCAGGCTGTCCAGGGTGGATGGAGAGCTGGCCGGGTTAGTGATCACGCTCTCCTTTCTGTCTCGAGACAGATGAGGGATTGACCTTGTATGTGGGCTCTGATGGCACAGCCACAGTGGGACACAGACACGCCCGTCACAGGTAAGGCGGAAGCAAGTGATATACAGTATGTGTTGATTACACTGGGGGGCTATTCTGAACAACTGCCTCAATTAAGTAATTGAGAACAAATGAAGTAATTAAGGGTCAGCTGAATAACTTGTAACTGCTGGCTGGGTCACAGTTGTGTAATACTGGACAGATATCAGTAAATCTGACAACAATAAGTGGTCTGGTTCTTTTTCATCCTTGGTTTCTCTGCGCAGGGACGTCAGTGCTGCAGGCCTGGAGAAAGTGGTTTTCTGAAAATAAAGGTGCCCGTTGGGCCTGCCCGCAGCTCCCTGCCTCTTTTTTTAGCCAACGTCTGGGGGTCGATGCGGTGCTCGTCGCTGGCGGCTCGTCATGTCAGGCGCGGTGTGAGCCGTCTGTGTGTGTGTGTGGGCAGTGACCCGGGCATCTGATTTACGGTTACAGAAGAGCGTTCTGTCCTGACAGTCAGGAGTGTCAGGTCACTGGTCATGGGACTTCACAAGACAGCCTACATCCACTCCTCTCTCTCCAGCATACACAGCACAGCTGTCTCTGCTCTTACTCCTTCACTTTCAACACTGTAACACAGCTGCGTGTACAGAATCACTATACGCAGTAAGGACTTAAACCATTTTGAATCTTGCTGCGGTAACCCTGGTGCTTGTTCCCTACTCTCATTACTCTGTGTAAAAAAGTACCCTTCTATGAATTTTCCATTTAAAAATGGAAGCAAAACAGTAAACGAGTTTGAAAATTGTGTTTTATCACGTAAATGAAAAAATAACGGGCAGAATTAAAGAAGCAATATGAGTGTTTTTTGGGGGGTCTTTACATTCATGAATCACGTTTGCATGTGTATCCAGTCCAACACCGTCTTAATTCCATCAACGAAATGGCACCGGTGACGTCACGCCCGCCGCCGGAAGTACCGTCAGAGGGTTTGCTTTTCACTTTCTCCAGCTGTGAGCCCGAAACCCGGAAGTGTCAAGATGGCTCCCAGTGGGCTGAAGGCAGTGGTCGGGGAAAGTAAGTAAAAAAAAACAAGTTTACAAACCATGGAGGAGAAAGTTGTCTGTCGTGTTTGTTGCACTGGTTAAAGAGTGGCGTTTGTTAGTGGTCGATACATCACTTTATACAGCAGCGAAGTGAGGAAAGACTTGCGTCACTTGTAAACATTCGTATCTCGACAATCCTCTGAATTTGTGGATTTTTTACTTTTTTTAAAAAATGCCAGATTTAAAGGCACGTATTCTATAGCCGTTGCTTTTCAGTTCACTCAAAAGGGTTCACTTGCCGGCGTCTGCGGCAGTGACTGTTATTTCAAACCTAGTTTCCTCGTCTTCTGAATTAGACTCGGGTCCGGTGAAACTCGCTGTCTGTAAGGAGATGCATGGCGCTGCTCGGATTTACACACCGGCTAACTGATGGGGAAAAAAAGTAATTTAATTATGTGAATTGGTAGATCTTCGTTAGATCTTCATCTCACTCTGGTATCTCCCCCAGCTAAGGTGATCCCAGAGTAAGACTGTCTGAAACTGGCGAATGGCAATGCGGAATCGGTGATTTGTGTTTAAGTGTTTGGTTCATTTACAGTATATCCAGTATTTACAGTGGTCGCGTATGTCAACGCTCGAGTAAATCTTCTGCACGTCAGAGCCCCAAAGAGTCAGGAAGTGTGCCGCCGCGGTGATGACCGCCAAATCGGGAATTTTACGTGTCCAGCCCCTCGGGCGTGAGCGCAGGGAACAGTGGGGTTCAGTGGGGT